ATTTTTTTAAAAAAAAAAAAAAAAAAAAAAAACCAAAAAAAAAAAAAAAAAACCCAGTTCGCCCATTGTTCCTACTTTCCATCTCTATTTTTTTTTAATTTTTTAAAAATTAATTTTCTGTAAGGGATCATATGGCTTGTGTCTTTCTTTGTCTGACTTGTTTCACCTAGTGTAATGCCCTAGTAGTCCATCCATGCTGTTGCAAATGGCAAGATTTCGGGGTGTTGTTTTTTTTACAGCTGAGTAATACTCCATTGTGTATATGCACCTCAGCTTTTTTATTCACTCATTTGTTGGCGGATTCTTGGCTATTGTAAATAATGCTGCAGTGAACATGGGGTGCACAAATCTTCTTCAGTTTGTGGTTTCCTTTTCTTTGGTTAAGTACCCAGAATTGCTAGGTGATATGGCAGCTCTAGTGTTAAACATTGTTTAATCCCCACAGTGTTTTCACAGAGGCTGCATTAACATTCCCACAAACAGTGCGTGAGGGCTCCCTCTTCTCCACATCCTCACCAACGCTTCTCTCCTGTCTTCCTGACGCTGCCATTCTGACAGACGTGAAGTGGCATCTCCCTGTAGTTTTGGTTTGTGTTTCCCTGGTGGCTGGTGATATTAGGCACCTTTTCATGTCCCTGTTCGCCATCTCTCTGTCTTCTTCGGAAAAATGTATTTTCAGGTTCTCTGCCCATTTTTCATTTGGATCGTTTGTTGTTTTGCTGTTGAGCTGTGTGAGTTCTTTATATATTTGGATATTAACTCCTTGTTAGATGCATGATTTGTAAATGTGCTCACTCATTTGGTTGGTTACCTTTTCGTTTTGTTGATAAGAGCTTTTAGTTTGATGGTCCCACTTGCTTGCTTTTGCGTTTGGAGTTATATCCAAGACATCATCTCCAAGACCTATGTCAGGGAGCTGACCGCCCGTTTCCTTTCATTGTCTCAGGTCTCGCATTCGGGCCTTTTTGTGTTCAGTGTAAGATATCAGTCCAGCTTCGTTCTTTTGCATAAGGCTGTCCAGTTTTTTCAGCTACTTACTGACAAGACTGTCTTTTCCCTACTGTATATTCTTGACTTCTTTGTCATAAGTTAATTGGTCATGTGTGCGAGGGTTTATTTCTGGGCTTTCTATTCCATTAATCTAGGCATCTGTTTTTATGCCAGTACCATGCTGTTTTAATTACTGTAGCTTTTTGATACAGTTTGAAATCAGGGAGCATGATGCCTCCAGCTTTGTTCTTTCCCAAGATTGCTTGGCTATTCAGGGTCTTCATTGTTTCATACAAATTTTAGGGTGGTTCTGTTTCTGTAGAAATCAGTCATTTATACATAAGTATTTTTGTGGAGGATGGTCTTTATTTTTACTTTTATTTTCCTTTAGATTACTCAGCAACAGATGGTGATTCACACACTACTGTGAGCTTTTAAAGAAAAATTGGAGTGTGTGCGTATGTGTGCGTGCATGTGTATGTGCATGTGTGTGTGCATTTGGGGGAGGGTATTTTTAGCCAGAGGAAAGTTGGAGTGATTCCAAAGAAATCAGGTGACAGCCTGAAAAACAGTGCTCGACACTTTTTAATTTAAATTAAAAACAACCTGTTTTCTTTTGGAGAAAGGTAAAAGTATAAACAGTGCCTTAAAGCCTATTTGTTGTCCCACAGTTTCTGACTCTGAAAACTCCGCTGTCTAGGGAAGCACAGTACAGGAGTGCTTCTCAACCGCGCAGTAAGAACTCGTTCTGTTTTAATTAACAACAACGAGACTTATCTTAGAAGAACGAGAACGTTTGCCACCTTCGGGAATTTAAGAACACGTTTTGAAATGGGTTCCCAGTCTTTTGAAAGGGCCCAGTTTTCATCATTGTAAGTCAGTCGATCCAGGGGTTCCCCCAGTGCTTTTATGGGTGTATCATTCCAGGGGACTGCATCTAACAGAGTGTCCTGCACTCGACCTGTAATTATGAGAAACCCTCCTCTGACTTAAAGATAAAAAGCAAAGCACCGCTCTGCCGGCTTTCTTCATTCAGGTAGATAGTGATGGTCGGTCGGTTGTGTGTGGACCAGGCTGGCCCCAGCAGGCAGGGCCTCTGCGTGTGCTCTGACCCTAACCCTGACTTACTTTCTCCCACCTTCTGCAGTATGATTTGAGATCGTGAACATGGACTTTTCTCGGCTCCACATATACACGCCTCCTCAGTGTGTGCCCGAGAACACTGGCTACACCTATGCACTCAGGTGAGCGTGTGTGTGTTTTGTCACTTCTCGAATGCCATTGATTAATAGGGCCTCTGTGGGACTTGCAGCCAAATGTTATATTTAGAAAGAGAAAATATCTATAAACTTTATGTTATACTGTGGCTTTATGAAATTACCAAACTGACATGGAAATTGCTGTTTTGAAAACTACGTTTGTGATGACTCATTGGTTACTCATTGCAAACATCGCTGTTTCAGACTCCACCCAAAGGGCTGTGGTCTCGAGAATAGTCTTGTAGTCATGGTTGGGATTTGGGATTTATATGGATGGCTGGGTATCTCACAGTTAACCGAGCTGTCCCAGAAAAGGTTGCCTTTGAGAGGAGGCATCGCAGACAGTGAGACAAAGCCAAGGTTTCAGGAGCAGGATATGGTCAGGTGCGCAGTCTTCTGCTTTTGTTCGTGTTCTGATGTAACACTGAGGCCTGAAGTTGAGTCTGAAAAGTTGCTGACTTGTCCTTTGCATTTCTAGTTTATAAAATAGAAAGGATTGAAATGAAACTTATTATAACATTATGGACCTGATTGGCAGTTGGAAAACCTTTGCACCCTGGCACAGTGTTTAAGGCACACAGGAAAATGCTATATAATTTTATCAATGGCTGTTTTCTAAGGGTAAAATGTAATGGAAACTAAGAAAATTGGAGGATATTTTAAGGAGAGTACTTTTTAACAGCAGTAGTCAAATCTCACATTTAATGATTGAGTTTTTGTTCACAATTCTAGATCATGTCACACTTTCTGTAGAAACAGACTCTTTTTCTGCTAAAAGTCCTGTAGTATTTTAGAAAAAATTGAGTGGGCCAACACAAGTAAACCATTCCTTATTCTGTATTGTAGAGCATAAAAATAATTATTCTTGCTAATTTATTTTTAGTTTTATAATCTATTTTAAATATAGTTTTTAAAACATGCACGTGCCTGGATCTCTGCCCTGGGACAGCGACACTGTTAATTTCATTAACTGACAGCCTTCCTTGAGGTAGAGGTGGGGCGATGAGGGTGGAGGAGCAGTGAGGAGGAAGGGCAGGCCGGCAGGTGTGGCTTTGCAGGCTGTGCCGGAATCTTGTTGAGGGCAGTGGGAAACCAGGGGAGGGTTTTAACAAGGAGGAGCATAGCCAGGTCTGTGCTGGGAAGGACAGGATGCTGCAGTGTGAAGAATGGGGGTGTCGTTCTGAAAAGTTGTTCTCCCTGCCTTGTCCTTCAGACCCCCTTCCAGCTCCCCCGTCCCCTGGCTCATGGTCTGCTCACCTCTCACTGCTGGGGACTGTGCTCCTGGCCCGCTGCTCTGTGCAGTCTCAGTGGTCATTCCGTTAATTCCATTAGAGTGTTTTCCTGCTGTGGAGACTGTCGGGCCCTCTGCCTCTCACCTGGCTCAGCAGTCCCAGCACCGGTCTCCCTTCTCGCTCTCCCCAGTGCACTGTTGTGAAGCAGATCTCATCCAAAGTGCCAGTATTGTAACAGAGCCCCTGTGATTTAAAATAGCTCCTGAATATATCAGACACCGAGTCAGTGCTCCAGTTTCTCAGATCTTCATTTTTTTTAACAACTTTTTTTTTTTTTTAAATCAACCTAAACAGGATTCTCACATTCATTTGGGTAATTTGTGTCTTGGGTCTGCATCTGCTTTCCTGTCCCTGTAGTTAGATGTAGAGATTTGGTCAGCTCCGGGTTTCCGTTGGTGGGTTGCCGTGACTACAGGGCAGCGGGCACTTCCTGCTGTGTTCTGAGGGGAGGTGCCTGGTGTCTGCTTCTCCCCCAGGTGTGGAGGTTGGTCAGTGCCATCCGCTGGCCCCACTCACTGAAGTCCCATCCCTCCTCCTGGGAGGGGAATGGCAGCCGCTGGGCAGCATTGCCCTGGTCAGGGAGGGATGCCCCCAGGAGCCGCTCACCCGGGTGCAGGCCAGGCTGGGGAACGGGGGCTGGCATTTTCAATCTCTGGGGAAGTTGGTTTCCAACCAGAAAGAAAGGTGGGGGGAATGGCTGTTGGTTGTGCAAGAGGAGAGTGTGTTCCAAGGAGGGAGGGGGTAATCAGCCGGTCAGATGCTGCTGGAAGGCCACGCAGGGCGAGGGCAGGGCGAGGGCCGGCGCAGCGAGCTCAGCCCACAGGAGTCACTGGCAAAGCCGGCACATGGTCCTTCAGGCAGACAGACTGAAGCTGGTGAGGAGTGAGAGCAGCACCTTTTCCAACAAGTCGGCGGATGGGAGAAGAAAGGGCGAGCTGGGCTTATTTATTTTATGGGGGCACGGGGGCATGTCTGGATGCTGATGGTAAGAAGCCGTAGAGAGAGGTTGAAGGCAGCGAGAATAGGCATCTGACAGTAAGGCTCAGAAAGTGGGAGGCTCGTTGCGGAGCCCACGGGTGGGCTTTAGGGTTCCCTGCACTGTAGCTTGGCAGCGTGACTGCGGGTCCTTCAAAGACAGATGCACATTCGCCGAGGTGGGGAAAGAAGCAGGGCCTTGACTAGAGAGCCGGAGGTGGAGGCAGGGCGTGGTGAAGCTGGAAGTGAGGAGGGGACAGAGTTAGTGGCTGTGAGCACCAGGGACCAGGTGGCCCCGCACAGGTTGCCAGGCAGGAGCGAGGACCTGCGAGGGTGGGTGCCCGACCTCCAGTTGCTTGCAGCAGTCTAGAACTGAACAGAGAGCTGTGCAGCTCGCCTGCTGGGGATATGGCCAGGCCAGCGGGGCAGGGTGCCGCAGCCAGGAGGCCACGATGATCACGGGGATGGAGAGCCTGTGGGGCTGAAGGACACTGTGGTGGAAGGTCCAGAGAGAGAGGTGACGAAGGGTCAGAGCGTGAGGCTGGCGTTTGGGACTTCAGGGTGTAGCTTTTGGGGTAGATAAGCAGATAAGCAAACCTCTGAACCTCCGAGTGTGTCCGGGTTCTTGAGACGGTCACTGCACACCCCTTGCTTGGCCCACAGACCCATTCATGGGGCAGCCTTGGCAGGGTCTTAGCTGCGTCCCAGCTGGCTCACTGCCCAGTGTCCATATTGTTTCCAGCTTTCAACTGCAGTAGATTTCTCTCAATCGTTTCATTAAAAGTGCATCTAAACAGATTTTTAAAAGAGCAGTGTGTGTCAGTAAAGTGCATAACTGATGAGAGACCAAACTGAAACCTCAGACTCTAGAATGTGTCTGTGGCATTCCGTCTATATTGTCTTTTTTTAAATATAGCATCTTTATTGACTTCAGAGAGAGGAGGGGAGAGGGAGAGAGCAATGAGAGTCATTGATCGGCCGGCTCCTGCACACCCCCATCCGGGATCAAGCCCGCAACCCGGGCGTGTGCCCTAATCAGGAATCTAGCCACGGTCTCCTGTGTCCCAGGCCTCCTGTGTCCCAGGCTGATGCTCAGCTGCTGGGCCACGCCCACTGGGCTGCCTTTTTTTTAATCCTCACCTGAGGATATTTTTTCTGTTGTTTTTTCAGAGAGAGAAGTGGGGAGGGGGGGAGGGAAACATCGATGTGAGAGAGACAGCGATTGGTTGCTTCACACACTCACCCCAACTGGGGTGGGGATCGAGCCTGCACCTGGGGCACATGACCTTGGCTGGAATTGAACCGAGACCCTTCAGTCTGTGGGCTGACGCTCTAACCACTGGGAAAACCAGCCAGGGCTGTAGTGTCTTTTTTTTTTTTTAATTGATTTCAGAGGAAGGGAGAGAGAGAGAGAGAGAGAGAGAGAGAGAAACATCAGTGATGAGAGTCATTGATCGGCTGCCTCCTGCGCGCCCCCTACTGGCGATGGAGCCCACAACCCAGGTGACTTGGAATCGAACCGTGATCTCCTGGATCCTAGGTTGATGCTCAACTGCTAAGCCACGCTGGCCAGGCTATAGTGTCTTTTTTATCTCCCAGTTATGTCACTAATTCTCTCTCATCCTCAGTTTACAATTTTGTGCCCCCACTCCCGGCTTCACGTAAAACCAGTAAAGTGCGTGAACACCACATTGACACTGTGCTGCCTGGGTGGGTGCCCGGTGCCTCACGTCTCCACAGACGTTTGGCTCTTTCCGCTGGAGCTCCGGGACATCTGTCTGGAGGAGCCTGTTTCTGAGGATGGCTGGGACTCCAGCCCAGGGCCAGAGGGCAGGCAGCTTCTGTTCTTCCTGGGCTGTGGGCCTGTGGAAGCAGGGCTGAGCCCACCCTCCTGCCCTGCCCTGCCCTGCCCTGCCCTGCCCTCGCCCCCCTGCTGTGAATCTTAGCCCTGGTGTAACGGGGGCGGGTAGGTCTTTGACCATTTTGAAGAAAGCCTTCCAGGTCTCTGCTTTATGTGTAAGAAGATGTGGTTTTGTTTCTAGTTTGTTTCAGTATAGATGGTACTTTCCTTGTTCATTTAACGCTGTGTCTGGGAGTCTTCCTGTGAGGGGAGGTGCAGACCACCTTCTAGGTTTCCGACAGCCTCCAGCTTAGGGAATATGGGGTGTCCTGTTTACCCCCCCATGGATGGTCTGCATAGGCTGCTGTTACAAACATTCTTCTAGCGGCTTCCCCGCCCCCTGCCCCCCCCAAGTTGTGTCTGCAGGGCCTGCTGGGGGAGCTCGGGGAGCGAGTCTGTGCCCTTTGTCCGCCCCCTGGGGGTGTGCCTGCCCCTCTGGATTGACCATGCCGAGTCACCTCGACGGGGGCAGACCTGGCTGTCACCTGTCCCTCCTGAGGTCTAGTTGTTCCTCGAGGGCCTCATTTAAACCCACGGTGGAGGGTGCCGTCCATGCCTACATGATGAATCCTGATTTGAAATAACATGCTTTTCTTAAACTAAGATCATAGTTGTATAAAATATTTTGGAAGAAGACTAACGCTATTCCAGCCTGTACTAAAATTACGTGCTTAGCATCCTCGCTGCACACTCAGCATGGCTCCTGCAGTCTCCCCACTCCAGCCTCCAGGTCACACGAACAGCCTCCGAAGGCCTGTGTGGCGTGTCTGAGACCTGTGATCACATGACGCCGATGGTGTCAGCTACTGTTGCTATGACTGATGTAGTGTCAGAATGTTCTAGTGTCAGATCTAATGAGTTTAGGAGGAATTTGATTCTGAAACTATTTTGAAACAATTTTTATAGTATTAAATATAATGCAAAATGTTCTTAAGCTCATTCACTTCACTCAGATTTCCAAGTCCTTCCCATGGCCGCCTCCTGAGCAGGGGCTGCTTCCCACCACCCCGAGGGTGTGCCCCCGGGCATCTCACAGCACCTCTCCCGTGGTGCCTGTGCGAGGTGTGGCACTCCCAGCCTCCCCACCCTCGGCGCCTGGGTCTGTAGGTCCTCAGCTGTGTCCTCTCCCTCCCCCTCCTCACGGTGACTTGTGCTCACCTCTCTCCTCCCTGCTGGGTGGTGACTCCCTGCTGGGTGGCATGCTCGGGCCACTTGGACTGGCCCGCAGGTCAGGAAGTATGGTCCCCACCCCGAGGTGGCACAGAGGAGGTGCTCAGTCAGTGCTTCTTGATTTGGAAAAGGCTGCCAACAACACAGAAGGACCAGACTTGTGGTTTACGTAATTTCATGGGAGGGATTGAAGTGAGGTCACAGGTTTGTCTCCAGCTTGGTGGTGAGTTAGAGGCACAATAGCGTTGACGGTCAGTCACCTGCCTCCTCCTTTTCTGCTGACATGGGTTCACCTAGCCACTGTGTGTCTGGGCTTCCCGCCACGGAGCGGTCGCCATCTCTGCTGCTTTCTCGGGCGTAGTGACAGGGTTCCCATAGGTGGGATCCTCGTGAAGGCAGCACGGTGTAGAGCAGTTCTCGGGGTCAGCTCTGGACATAAGCAGTGGGCACCAGGGGAACGGATTTCACTGTACTGCTCTGGGTGCAGCTTATTTTGCTTTGTAGAAAAGTTGTCACACTGTGATGGCTGTTCTAACATTCACTGTAGGTCTGGCCTGTTTAAAAGCAATGCCGTGAGCATTGCTCATCACTGACTCCTCCTTTCCTTCCAGTTCAAGTTACTCTTCTGATGCTCTGGATTTCGAGACCAAGCACAGATTGGACCCTGTGTTTGATTCTCCAAGAATGTCCCGGCGTAGTTTGCGCCTGGCCACCACCACGTACGGCACTGAGGGTGGCCAGGTGGGGGATGCTGACTCCTGCCCCAGCAACACGGCCTCCCTGAAGGACACAGCAGCCAGGTGAGCCCACTCCTTTGTGCTCACACATGTGTTAACACCAACTAGAGCCAAACACACATGCCTGTTGGCCCAAAAGACCAACCTCTTGAATTTGAGGACATGAGCGCACACAGATCCACATGTGGCTGTGTGGCTTTGCCACGAATAGGGGCTGACAAGGGCTATGGAATGAGTGGGTTGTTGGTGTTGGTGTTCTGCAGTCAAGGTTTTCCAGTTCTGAAAGCCAGGAGAGGGTGTGGGTATCGTCACGTGGGCACCATCACCTTCGCAGCAGGACCGGACCCTCAGCTGTGCCACCAGAGGCTGTTCAGGGTGCAGGGCCATTGCAGCCAGTCTGTATACTAAAAGCCGTGTGTACTAACAGGCTTACCTGTGCCCATGACCTCTGGGGCACCCTTCACCACTTCTGTACCCAGAAGGAACACAAGTGGACAAGGTCTGTGTGCGTTGGAGAAAGAGAGTGAACATGACAGGTCTCCTGTGGGCCGCTCAGGTGGGAGTGACTAGCTTCCCCTAAAGGGCTCTTTCTCTCAGGAACGGGGATGGTGGCTGTTAGGATAGGATGCCGAGGGCACAGTGGGGCTGGAATGGTGTCTGCAGCCCTGCTCCCGTGAGGAGTCCACTCAGTGCACTTGTCACTGTCACCTCGGAGTTTAGAGAATGAAGTTCTGTACCTACCTCCACCCGGGAGATACATGAAGGAGCCCCGAGAGCTGCAGGTGAATACAGTTGGTGCTTGGCGTGAGAACACCCAGCTGTGACCGGTTCCTAACGCCACCTGCTCTCACCCACCACTGTTCCCGCAAGGGGGCGTCTGCCCTTGGTCCTAGCCATGTGCAGTGTCTGAAAACAGTAGTTTTCAAGGCCTTCATCTTTGTCATATGTGCTTAGTGTGAGTGTGGAAATTACTTTAGATTACAGGCTTTCCTACTGGACTTAATGTCTTTCCTGGTGACTGAGAAGTGGAAGGGGGTGTGTATGAGTGTGTGGCCACTTGACTTAAAAAGGAAGGGAGGGTTAAATTTAGAAATCATATACTTTTTTATTTTTATACTTAGGCTGTTTTTATATTTAGGTTATTTTAAGTTTTAACCACTAGTTTTAGAAAGAGCTCTTGGACCCCGGCTTAGGACATCCTGATCCAGATCAATCGATATTTCATTACAGCAAAGATGTAAAAAGATGCTGCCTTAAAAATGCTATTTAACCCGGCTGGTGTGGCTCAGCGGTCGAGTGTTGACCCGCGAACCAGGAGGTCACTGTTTGATTCCAGGTCGGGGCCCATGCAGGGTGTGGGCTCGATCCCCAGTCGGAGGCGTGCAGGGGGCAGCCGGTCCGTGACTCTCATCATGGATGTTTCTCTCTCTTGCTCTGAAAGCAATAAAGACATGTTTTTTAAAATGCTGTGTTTGTTGTCAGAGGTTTTGTGTGGGTAAAATACATTCTCTTTTACAAGAAAAAGTCTACGCCTTGTTCCCCATTCCTTCCTTTCAGAACCACAAAGCAGCGCAGAAACGCGAGCAAGCTGGCCTTCAGTGTGAACCGCCACTCGAGGCAGGCTGCTGCCCGCCAGAGCGGTGGTCCGCAGGGCACGGCCTGCCCACGGCCCCCCGTGCTGGACGAGTCTCTTATCCAAGAGCAGACCAGAGTGGACCACTTCTGGGGTGAGTTGTCTGCAGTTGGTTCTTATATTGCTCTGGAAGGAGGAGGTCATGGCCAATGGAGTCCAGGAAGATCAGAGTTTTCCTCTGGACTCAGGGATGCAGACGTGGAAGCTGCCTCAGCTGCCGCCCCGGGCTGTGCTGCTGGTGCACTCAGTGCGCAGTCGTCTGCTGTCAGGTAGTGAGCGAGGACAGCTGTGCTGAGGGCATCGCTTTGTGGGCTGTTTAAGCAGTCGCTGTGCAATCACCAGCGTGATTTGAGGTTCCAGGCGGCGCTCGGTGGCGAGGCAGGCACAGTGTTTCTGACTCATTGGACAGCACCCAGTGTAGACAGTGACTGGAATTGTCGCTGCGCTGACTTGAGGGAGGCAGCCAGTGCAGTCCCGTCCTGTAGGAATGCCGTACTGTGGGAGTGACACTGTGACGGGCACAGAGCTGTGGCCCTGTCCCCTCGGGGTCCTGGCCGGCCCTTGGAGAAGACCGGGAGACCCAGATTTGTTCCAGGAGTTTAGTGCTACTTTGGGGACGCGAGGCAGCTGACAGAGGACGTGTGGGCTAGGGATGCCGTGTCTGAGAGCGGGGCCTGCCCCGCGAGTCCTCCCCAGCGCGCTGCGTCCTTAGCGCAGGTTGTGCTGGTGCAGATCAGAGACGTCCTCCCACCTCAGTCAGAAGAAGGTGTGTGTGTGTGGAGAAATCCCTGTCAGTTTTAGGCATTTTAGGAGGTAAATCTTGACCAGTGCCACGGTGCTGACTTATTAACCACTGTAACCTTTTTTGAGTGAGTTTTGCTGTTTCGATCATTTGCGCTCAACTGCAAAAATATGTGTGTGTTCTAGGTCTTGATGATGATGGAGATCTTAAAGGTAATGACTTCAGTCCTTTTCGCCCCTGCCTTTTAAGATGCAAGTTTTTGTTGGGTTTCCACAGACTGAGAAACGGGCTCCCTCTGCTTTTTGAAACCTTCAGGTGGAAATAAAGCTGCCGTTCAGGGAAATGGCAACATGGCCGCAGATGCATCCTGGAGCAACGGCTACACGTGCAGGGCCTGCAGCCTGCTGTCCGAGCGCCAGGACACGGTCCCCGGGCATGCCACCGCCCTTGGCGCCACCTCCAGGGTGTACTCGAGGGACAGGAGTCAGAAACGTAAGTTCCACTCATTTAAGAGCTAGAAAAAGAATTCATGTGCTGCAGCCCCTCTTACAAACCTGGTGTTGAAGGCCCAGCCCCCGTACTCCTCCTGTCGTAGACTTGGACTTGGTCATCCTGCACAAGGTTAAGAAACGCACCAAAAGTTAGCTTGGTTCCTTCTCACTCTCTTTCAGCTTCTGTTTTACGGTCAGTGCTTCTGTCCCGAGGAGTCCCTGAAACTGTAAATTTGTACTTAGATGAAACCAGTGGAACTGCGGTCACTCTCAGACGCGCACATGCACCGGAGGAGCGGCTCCATGTGCTGCTCGCTCCTCGGTGCCAGAGGGGTTTGTGCCGGTGGGAGTGAGGCCCCTCGTCCCCTGGTCTCTAGAGCCCATGACCAAGGGAACTTCAGGCTTGCAGGCAGCTCAGCACTGGCCCTGTTGAGGTGGCAGCTCTCATTTCATGGACTCCCAGTGTGTAGCCACCGCCACTGGCGAGCCAGGTGGACGTCAGAGTCCTGGCTGCAGTGGCTGGAACACACGTCCTTGGGCTCTGGAGCCGTGTGGCTGTCACAACTGTAGCCGGCCTTGCACACCATCCTGTGGGGCTTCCTCCTGGTCCCCTTCCAGATTCCATGGGGTGGCTGCAGCGCCTCTGCTGGCCCAGGCCCTCGTCAGCCCGACTTACTGCCCCATGGTCACTGCTCAAGTGCACATGGGGAGGTTAGGGAGCCCTAGACTTGAAACCTGCATCGCCTCATTTCTGGTGTGCTCCTGGCGTGCTCAGTCTAAGAGCTGGTCTGCCCGGCAAGCCTGGAGCCATGCGCGCAGGTGATACGAGGCATGGGGAAGTGCCAGCAGATAGGGCAGTGTCTGGTTTACCGTGTTCCTGGCTGTGCCCGGCCACGAGGGCGCCCAGTGACCATTTCTCAGATGATTGGACATAAGGGACAATGGTACCAGGACTGAGCGGTCTTGTCGCAGCTGCGGACGCCTCTGGCTCTGTCTGCTGTGCGTTACTGGCATCCCAGCCGTCCTACCTCGCACTAGGAAAGCAGAAGGAGAGGGGCGGGTAGACTCAACAGGAGGACTTCCCTTCTAACACGGGGGTCGCATCGAACCTGCGCTGCCATGTGGAGCCCAGCACAGGCTCTGCCCCAGTGTCTCCTGGACCCTCACGGCAGCCCTGTGGGACTCTGGCACGTGGCTGTCCCCACCGGGCAGGCTGTCAAAAGGCTTAGCTAGCTCTGCACCTTGCTGGAAAGCGATAGAGCCGGCAGGATGCTGTCGCAGGGCTCCCCACACAAGATGCACTGGGGAGCGGGCGTTGAGGCTGTGTTGACGCACGCCATTGCTGCGTTGAACAGTGTTACCCTTAGAGGGAGCACGCTGCTCACAGATGTGTTAGGAACGCGTGCTGCTTCCCCGTGGCCTCCGCTCGGGTCAGAGCAGAGGTTACAGCTGTGTGTCCATAGCAGCCACTGTCCTGAGCTCAGCGATGCTCTGAGTGTCTCCACGCGTGGACTGGGGGTGGCCTCTGGAAAGCCGTCACTGAATGCCCTGGCTTAGATCACTCTTGACTGTTTTTGAGGGGAAAACAAGTTTTATATATATTTATATTTTATCTCTATTCTTTCTTTCTTTTTTTAAATCCCCACCCCAGGATATTTTTTCCATTGGTTTTTCAGAGAGTAGAAGGGGGAGAGAGAGAGAGAAACATTGATGTGAGAGGGACACATCGATTGCTTGCCTCCCGCACACGCCCCAGCTGGGGCCAGGGATGGAGCCTGCAACCCAGGCGTGTGCCCTTGACTGGAATCGAACCCAGGACCCTTCAGTTCGCAGGCCAGTGCTCTAACCACTGAGCAAGACCGGTCAGGGCTGTTATTTCTTTTTTATTACAGTTTATATTCAGTGTTATTTATTAGTTTCAGGTATATTTTTATTTGCTTTGGGTGTCTGTTATCGCTTCCCTTGCTGCTTTAGATTATAACAGTAATTTGTAGAACCAACTAATATATCGCTCTTAAAGCGTCTGTCCCTGATGATGTGAGTAAAATGTTGATGAAGAACGTTGGAAAAATACAGAGTTGTGCGAGGGAGAAAATCAAATCCACTTAACTCACCCCCCCCCC